GTCTAATGCTAGAATTATTGCCATTAATAATAATTATTAATGTGACATTCGCGGAAATGCCTATCATTTGTGTGACAGTCGCTGTTTGCGTGCATGCATGGGGGACCAATGCAGGCCTTCTCTTTTGGATGCGAGCACGGGAGATGGGGGCACTTTACCTCCAGACCGGGCCATTTCTGGCATTTTTTGTTCACATGTAGCAATCAGTATTTTTTGCTAGAAAATTACTTAGAACCCCCTAACATTATTTTTTTAAGCACAGGCCCTAGAGAATAAATTGGTGGGTTTTGACATTTTTTATGTCACACAGTATTTGCGCAGCAGTTTTTCAAATGCAATTTTAAGGGAAAAATACACTTTTTGGAATTTTATTGCAAAAAAAACACACTACATAACCAATTTGATGTTAAACTGAGTACATAGATACCAAACATGTCACGCTTTAAAATTGGGCATGCCCATGCAATGGCGACAAGCAAAGTAAATTTTACTATCAATAGGCAATGCTTTAAAAGCTTTTACAGGTTACCACTTCAGATTTACAGAGGAGGCCTGGTGCTAGAATTACTGCCCATGGTCTGATGTTCACGGTGATACCTCACATGTGTGGGTTGATCGCTGTTTGCATGTGAGACCGATGCACGCATTCACCTTGGAGTGCTAGCATGGGAGGATAGGGACGCTTAAAATTTTTTTTTTTTTCCTTTTTTTAATCATTAATTTAATTGATTTTTACACTGTTTCTTTAATTTTTTTTTTCTTGATCACTGTCATTGCTGTCACAAAGAATGTAAACATCCCTTGTTACAGCAATAGGCAAATGACAGGCACTCTTTAGGGAGAGATCTGGGGTCTATAAGACCTCAAATCACTCTTCTGCACGTAAATGCATGCAAAAACACCAAGATCTGTGTTTCTAAATGCTTTTATGTTTGTAAAAATGGTGTCTTTTACTTCTGAATAAACCGGAAGTGATGTCAGGTCATAGCTTCTGGTTTACTATAATGGAGAGCCAATCTAGGCCAATACTGGCCTCTCAGGTCTCCAATGGGGGGACGTCCCCTCCCGCTGCTTTTAATACTAATCTAGTGCCTGGAAAGCTGCCTAAATTGCTATTACAAGAGAGCCGACCGCCAGCTCTGAAAAAATGGTACTGGGGTGATGCCTACAGCAGCAGGCATCACTCTGGTATAGACACCAGAAGTGGTTAATTAATTTTATTTTTACACTGTTGCTTTAATATTTTTCTATCACTTTTATTGCTATCACAAGGAATGGTAACATCCTTGTGACAGCAATAGACATGTGACAGATACACTTTATAGAGAGATCTGGGGTTTATAAGACCCCAAAATACTCCTCTTCCCTTAAAAGCATTCAAGATACCAAGATAAGTGTTTTCGAATGCTTTTGATTTTTTAAAAAATGGTACCTAGATAACATCTGAGTAAACTGGAAGTGACGTCAGATAATCGCTTCCAGGTTACTATAGCAGCCGATCAAAGGATGAGACCACCCAGTGGGATGCGGAAGCGCAAGCAAGCTGCAAGGGAGGGGGGGGACATCCTTCGCGCTGCTTGTAATAACAATCTAGCTTCTCCGATTGCTATTACAAGAGATCCAACCGTCAGTTCTAAAAAACGATACTGGGGTAATGCCTGAAGCTTCAGGAATTACCTGAAGCTTCAGGCATTATCCTGGTACAACCACCCACAAGTTCAGCGATGTACCTCACTGGTCTGAAAGTGGTTACTTCACATTGGTTGCTGGTTGCTCTCAAGGCAGAACTGGAGATCAAGCACTGAAAGGTAATCTTAACACTATGCTACTTTTTGGGATATTACAAAAACAAGTGACCGCTATAACTGGTAACCATCGTGCCTAAGGGCACATTAAAGGATAACTTCACCTTGCAGCTTTGAAGAGCTTGAAGAAGGAGGCAGAGCCTTGAAAACGCGTTGCGGCCTGCACGCTTTTAACAGCTTCTGTCACTACCTTCTGTCAGTTGGCAGGAGTGAGGAGGGAGATGTTGCCAAGCCATGCCATCAGCGGGTCCCTCTTGATGCCCTGCAGCTGTTGTCGCCTTTGTCAGCCTGAAGAGAGCGGTCACCGCATGCCTCCCTGTCACTGGAGCAGTACACAGGTTGCCCCACATGTACAAGTGAGATGTAATAAGGTATTTCTTTCTATACTCACACTGATCTGGCGCCCTGTTGTGTTTCTTTGCATAAAGTTGAATAATGCCCTAGCTTTAGGTTTAGGGCCTGATCACACGGAGAACGCTGTACGGGAAACCCACATTGTGTGCGCATTTCCCACACCGCATTCAAAACACACTGCACTTGCGATCTGCAGCGGGTGTCAGTTTTAAGCACACAGTGCACAGTGAGCATGCGCTCTGCACAGAGCCTCAGACCACTGTGGAGGTGTGGCTGCTGGGTGTTCAGGCCCACTTTTCCTACATTATAGCAGCAGAAAGGGGTTCAATATCAGCAGTGATTACAGCAAGATTTTAGAAAACAGTTTTTGGCACCTTGGGAATGTAAAACACATATTGAAGGATAAGAGCACTTTCAGATGAAGCACGCTTATCCTGTTTGCCCCTTTAAACTTCAATTCAAGGGGTGGTGTACTGAATGGTTCTTCTATTCAGAGTTCTGACACACATCTGCAGGGTCCCATTTTTCTTCCTCACTACAACTATAGGAGAAAAGTAAGGGCTCCTGGATTCTCTACTCCTGACTTTTTCTGCCCAGCAAGTTGCTCTCTGAGGTCTTCTTGGTCACTCAAAGGTGTTTGCCTTACTCTCTCCCTAAATAACCTGTCTTCCTGAAGGCGAATCCTATGCTGAGCACTTTTAGCACATCTCAAGTCAAAGTCATTCTTGGAAAACATCTCTTCCCATCTCAACAACTGATCCTTTACTCTTTTCTTCCATTTAGGAGAAAGTGGTGTGTGAGAGGAAGAAGACTCCTCTTCTGAATTTTCTCTGGACCCTCCCATCACCAAATCAGTAGGTGTTACCGGAATAGCCAAACTCCCTTGTCCAATTGACATTTGTGCCTTTAACCTGATAGGGAAGTTGATAACATTCCAGAGACTAACTGGCACCTTCCCTCCATTCTGGGACAAGGCTTTTGTGGGTACTATTCAGGGACCAGCTCCACTCCCATCTCTCCTTGGTGTGAATCAGTCTCCAAGATACAGAAGGGACCTGGCTGATCCCAAGCCAACTTGACTGTGGCCTTCATACAGACTATTTCACCAGACTGCAGTAATCTTTCCCTGGCTCCTAGCCTCCACAATTTTCCCACTCCATTGAAGCTATCTGCTCCCGAACCACCCGTCGAAAGGCTTGATGCAATTGAAGGTGAGGTCTTCATTCTCAGCTATAAGAATAATGGAACCTTTTCACTAGGTCAGTGTTATTTCCAATTGATAGAGAATTTTGTCTTGTTCCTGATGATCTGAAACATACAACTGCTAACATATAAAATGTCTCTGTCTTCTCCGAGGAACCGAAAGTTATTTTACCTTGAATGTAGCCATCATAAGGGACTTTTTCAGAGCCAATACCCCAGATCTTCAGCTCTTCCAACTTGAGATATGGTCTAGATAGGTCTGGCTCAGTCTCTTTCCTTAGGCACTGGGCCCTAAAATTTACAGGTTCTCCATACTGGAAGCACTTCCGCTTTTCATAGGCTGAAGCATGGGCTCCACTCTGATTTGGTTTGGCTGCCTGCAGTTTCACTTGTGTTTCCATTACCCACAACAAGCTTCGCTGTATCTGATTCAGAACGTGAGCAACTTGTGTCAGCAGGTTGACTCGGGCTGCCTCACTGACGGTTTTGATGATCTTAGAGCCTAAGTGTTCATCTGCTTCTGTCTCCCCGTCACTATCCTCATTGGTGAAATACTTATCTACTTGTACCACCCGAGTTGACACTTTTTCTTTCTTGGAAGCAGATTTTGGCAGTTCTCTCAGTTCTATTTCTTCTCCACTAATTCCTCCTCTTTCACCTCTCTCACTATTTAAGGGAAAGTGGGGGTTGCTTGTGATTTCTTGAGTAATAGTTTCAGCATAATTGGGTGATTAGGTTGTGCACCTTGTAGAACCTGCTCCAGACAGACTTTGTCAGCATCCTAGGGATCAATCCCTTTCTTTAGGATAATCTGATGTAGAATTTTATCCACTTGAGTAATGTATTCAGAAAGTCTCTCACCCCTACGCTGATGAGTGTGCTCGAACTTATACAAATGGTCTGGAAGTTTCTCTACTCGGCCATACACAGCATATAAAGCACAAATATAGTCCATTGCTACACAATCCTGCTTTCCTATCCTCAGACTGCAAATCACTTTAGCTATTTATTTATTATAGGTACTTATATAGCGCCGTCAATTTACGTAGCGCTTTACATATATATTGCACATTCACATCAGTCCCTAACTCTCAAGGAGCATACAATCTAAAGTCCCTAACTTACCGTATTTTCCGGCGTATTAAGACAACTTTTGGGGGTCGTCTTATACGCCGGGTATAGAACCGCTGGATGTGCGGTAATACTGTACGGTAGCTTCAGCTACACATACAGTGTACCGCGCTGAGCCAATCACGGCGAGCGATGTATTCTATTAATGAATACAGAGCCTGCTCGAATTGGCTGAAGTTGTGACATCATCAGCTCGCCTTTCTGACGCAGCCAATCTGAGCAGGCTCTGTATTCATTAATAAAATACATCACTTGCCGTGATTGGCTCATATGGCGTCCTCCCCATTCTCTGCGCATGCGCGGTGATGCGCTGTGTCTCTCGGACACAGCGGATCACCGATCACAGAAAGAGCCGAAGATGTCTGCTTGGTCATGTGATCAGCTGTGTCCAATCACAGCTGATCACATGTAAACAGGGAAATGCCGGTTATCGGCATTTCTCTCCTCTCAAGCTGTCACGCTGAGAGCTCGAGAGGAGAGCCGTAATCGGCTTTCCGCGGAGGGGATATGTACACTGATCATCAGGGCACTGATGATCAGTGTGCCCTGATGATCAGTGTAGCCCCAGCAGTGCCAGCTGTCGGTGTCCTTCAGTGCCACATATCAGTGCCTACCAGTGCACATCAATGCCACATATCAGTGCCCATATGAGCTGCTTTTCAGTGCCTACCAGTCAGTGCCACATATCAATGCCAATCAGTGCTGCCAATCAGTGCCTCCTATTACTGCGCATCAGTGCTGCCTATCAGTGCCATGTATCAGTGCTGCCTTTCAGTGCCCATCAGTGATGCCTGTCAATGCCCATCAGTGCCACCTATCAGTGCTACCAGTCAGTGCCGCCTATCAGTGTGCATCAGTGCTGCCTATCAGTGCTGCCTATCAGTGCCAGTCAGTGCCAGTTAGTGCCAGTCAGTGCTGCCTATCAGTGCCGCTTATCAGTGTCATGTATCAGTGCTGCCTTTCAGTGCCCATCAGTGATTCAGAAAAAATGAGGAAGGGCTGTTCCCCTCCAGCCACCACGCTGTTCCAGCCGAGAGCTGACCTCCCCACATCGCAGTAAGATGACGGCTCTTCACCCGGGTTACCACCCCACCGTTAACTATTGTTAACCACGGTTTTTAAGCTTATGATTACTTCATACATGTGAGTGTTTCTACATTTAGACTTGAATAAAAAGACTTATTGCACTTAGAGGCGCTTCTCTCCTTTTCTCATGCCTGTCAATGCCCATCAGTGCCACCTACCAGTGCCTCCTCATCAGTGCCACCTATTTCATATGGGTACAGTGTTGCATGACCGCGCAATTGTCATTCAAAGTGTGACAGCGCTGAAAGCTGAAAATTGGCCTGGGGGGAAGTGGGTATAAGTGCCCTGTAGGCTAGGGGTTAAATGGTGTTGCCTCAGAAGGGGGGTAGTCTTATACGACGAGTATATAGCCCAATACCTATGTTTTAACTGGAAAATTAGGGGGTCGTCTTATACACCCAGTCGCCTTATACGCCGGAAAATACGGTACATTCATACATACACATACTAGGGCCAATTTAGACAGGATCAAATTAACCTACCAGCATGTTTTTGGAGTGTGGGAGGAAACCAGAGTACCCGGAGGAAACCCACGCAGGCAGAGAGAGAACATGCAAACTCCAGGCAGGTGGTGCTGTGGTTGGGATATGAACCAATGACCCTAGTACTGCCTGGGGGAAATGCTAACCATTTAGCCACTATGCTGCCCTAGCTATGGACCCTCCAAGACTTTCACTTAGTCTCTGTCTCTTGACTACTTCTGGGATGTTCCATTATTTCAAAGCCTGAGTTGCCTGATCCATCCAGGTTTCAAACTCTTCCTCTCCCACAGGGTTGAAACCCTCCCCGAGGAAAAGTGAAGATTCCTATATCCTTGACTGATAGAAGCAGAGCTATTGTTTATTAAGATCTCAACTAGTTTGTTCATGTCTGTGTCAAGGTCCTACCTTTTCCCAGAGGTTATGTTACTCCATGTGCTGGCATCCATCTTGGATTTCTGCTGAGCATGGTGGGAAGCTTTTATGCCTTCAGGTCTCTGAGGTCCATCCCCCAGAGGGGTGTGGCTGAGTACATATAAGCCTGTGATACGCACATGCTCTTTGCACTTGTGTCTTGTGTCTTTGTCTTGCTACAGCTCTGTGTATATGCTCGTGACTCTTCTGGTATTCTGACTCGACTTGTGACTAAGACCATTCTCTGTGTTTTCCTTCGATCTGACCTTCCGTTGCTGAACCCGGCCCGTGACCTGTGATTCTCTGTCTACTGTTCTGTACTGTTTTGTCCTGTTGTTGTCGACTCGGCTTGCCTGACTACGCCATTGGCGGCGGCCATTACCGCAGCCGGGGTGTCTCGGGGGCGCGACTGGTTCCTGGCTGCGTCAAGTCCATCCCCACCATCAGGGGCCCTGTGAAGGGCAGCCTGGGACTTAGACTCTGCGCCTTGAGGGACTTCGGTCTGTTGGTGGTGGTTGGTCGTCAGTCAGTGCCTTATCCTGCCACTTAGGCCTACCTGTCCGTTTCCACAGCCCTGCCCTGACATTACATACACAAGTTGCCATGAATCTATCTCGAACGGTGGGGGGGGGCAGTGTGCCACGCCTTCGCCTTCCAATGTTGGTCGCCAGAACTGGATGACACAGGATCTCCTGTTGGATCAGTTCGCTCAGGCGTTGCAAACTCTGCTGGGCACGCACGGCGCACCTTACTCCTGGTGTTATTAGGCCGGTTGTCACTCCGGTGTGGGTCGCTCCTCCTGCTGTTCCGCTTGTTGCGCCCTACCGCCGCGACTGCTGCGGCACCCGCGGCGCCCAGAGGTATAATGACTGGTTCAGCCCCTCTTCCACAGCGCTTTGGGGGTGAGCCGAGTTCAGTGTCGTGGGTTCCTCAACCAGGTGGGGATTTATTGTCATTCTCACCAGCTACACGCCATTGGCGGCGGCCATTACCGCAGCCGGGGTGTCTCGGGGGCCGCGACCTGGTTCCTGGCTGCGTCAAGTCCATCCCCACCATCAGGGGCCCTGGTGAAGGGCAGCCTGGGACTTAGACTCTGCGCCTTGAGGGACTTCGGTCTGTTGGTGGTGGTTGTCGTCAGTCAGTGCCTTATCCTGCCACTAGGCCTACCTGTCCGTTCCACAGCCCTGCCCTGACATTACACAAGTGCCATGAATCCTGACGGTGCAGGTACGCCTTCGCTTCCAATGTTGGTCGCCAGACTGGATGAACAGGATCTCCTGTTGGATCAGTTCGCTCAGGCGTTGCAAACTCTGCTGGCACGCACCGCGCACCTTACTCCTGGTGTTATTAGGCCGGTTGTCACTCCGGTGGTCGCTCCCTCCCGCTGCTGTTCTCAACCCCCATTGTGACATTGCAATTTAGTACTTAGTACGCATCTCATCCGCTTGTTGCGCCTACCGCCGCGACTGCTGCGGCACCCGCGGCGCCCAGAGGTATGACTGGTTCAGCCCCTCTTCCACAGCGCTTTGGGGGTGAGCCGAGTCAGTGTCGTGGGTTCCTCAACCAGGTGGGGATTTACTTCGAATTAATACCCCACGCTTTTCCGACTGAGAGGTCAAAGGTGGGTTTCCTAATATCGCTACTCTCAGACAAGGCCTTGGCCTGGGCGAATCCCTTATGGGAGAGGAATGACCCAGTGATTCACGAGTTTTCCGGTTTTGTCGATGCCTTCCGTAGGGTATTCGATGTACTGGCTCGCTCCGCCTCGGCTGCCAAGCTGCTCATGTCTATTGTTGTGGACCTTTTGAAATTATGTCTCAAAAACATGATTTTATCAAGACATAATCCTATATAACATCAAGTCAGCATAGCCGGATGTTAAGGGTTAATTTGTCTTGGTTGGAAAGTCGAATGACCATCTAGCTAGAGAAATGTAACGATGGGTGAAGGGATTTTTTTTCCTCCTAGAGACAAATATACTATTTGAAGTTCTACAGGTGGTCAAACACCATTATTCAGACTTCTATAGCAGGTAAACATATACAAGGTCTGGACATGACAATAGAGGAACCAAACTGATTGTCTGAGAGCTTACCCAAACCTTGCAGAGTGTGATAAACCAACAGACCTCTGAAACTATCACAATATGCTATTGTCCACCAAGGGTGAAAGTATTAATAGTTGTTTACTGTGACTCCAATACAAGAGCCAGGCAAACAGAGAGTTTTTTCCCTACCCATAGAAAATGTGGTTCTGAAACATAAGTTAAATTCAGGACATTTAAAGCTAAAAAAAATTGAATGTATCTAACTACAAAGATATTACTACAAAAACATAGTATCTAGAGATGTTATAAAGAATAGGTTTCACACACCACCAAATATTCAGCAATGGGAATTATATATCACTAACTTGAGTATTGAGATGATGGAAAGTAAGATGTATTATAAACTAGCATTAGTTATATGTCTTATCAGGAAACAGACAGGATGGTATTTCAAGAAGGAATAACTGAATATACACCTAGATTCCATGGTCCCTATTTAGAATATTATAGGTATGATCACTTATATATTTGGAAAAAGACGTATATTTAATCCCTGTAATTACCTTAAAATTCCACCCGAGGTATGAGTCATCTCAAATACTCAAATTGTTCTATGATACATGACTGCCATCTGGCGGGCAGGTGAGAAATAGCTTATGTACACACATTTCTCAACTAGCCAATCAAGAAGCCTGGTGGGAAGGTATCTTAGAACAATGGATTAGTGGATATAAAAGCCCATGCACCTTTAAGAAGAAAAAACTCATCAAAAGAAAAAACTCATTAAAAGAAAGAAAACCTGACTGAAGAAAGACCTGATGAGAAGAATCTGAAGACATCTGAAGAGACCTCTCTACAACCCCTCTTCCATCCTTTCAAATTTCCAAACTTTACTAAATTGCTAAACCTCTGTCCTTCTAACTTCCTACATTCTCCCACACTATTGAACTCTATCTCACTTTCCCCTGTGGTCATCATTCTGAAGGCGTTCCATTGCCAGCTAAATCCACGGGAGAGTTTCCTAGTCTGAATTCCGGGTGTGGTGAGACTGTTAATTTAATTTTGCATTGCCTATTTTTTTTTTCTGTTGTGTGGAATCATAGAATTACCTTAGTGTATCACAACAATATTGGGTAGTTATATATATGTAGAGAGATCCTGTTTTACTGTTAAAAAAATTGTTTGGTGTCATATTATAAAAATATTTCATATTTCATAATTTATTAAATATTAATAATCAGAGTATAATTTATCAAGGAATAGCGTCTTGCAATCCTATGGCCACGGCTTGTGAGAATATAACCTTTGAGATACTCGAAATTATTAGTTATTAATAAATTTAATTTTAATCAGATCATTTAAAAATTGTGA